TCACCCCTGGTTTCAAGGGGATGCTAATTGGGGCTATGCGAAACCGACCCGCCCCCCCTCCCCTGCCCATACCTCAGGGTTCACAACCTCCACATCCAACTCCCGCAACAAACACATCCTTTCTGCCTGTTCCACATTCCACAACTCCACTCCAAGACTACCCATTAGATCCCTTTCCAGCAGGTTCACTCTCGCCTGTGGGATCAGTAACACATCTGCAGTTACCTCCTTCCCATTCCACTCCAGTCTCACTTCCTCCAGTACGTTTGCCTTGACCGGAGAGCCTCCCACCCCCATCACCGATACCGACGCGCCCCGGGATTTCGCAATCCCTGGGATCAGTTGGCACAGCGATGTTCGAGAGGCTCCGGAGTCCACGAGGAACTGCTGTTCCTCGCCGGTGGGACCCACCATGATGTTTACCAAGGATTCCCCATGGGTCCCGGTTGGGGAACCATGACCCCCCTAGTCATACAGGGGGAAACTCCTCTCATGTCCTCCCGATGTTCAGCATTATTGGGATTCCAATTTGGGTCTGCCAGAGGGAATTTAGTATCTGCGGCCGGGGCATTTGGGACATTTGCATTCCTTTGCTCCCAAGCCCCGAGCGCAGCTCGCCGAATCTGGCCCCTCTCTTCTGGCGTATAGAGGTGGGCTAAAAGGTAATTCAGTTCCCCCAGGAGTATTCCACCGGGCCGAGAAAAAGTTCCAATTGTTCGGGGGCGGTATGGGCGTTCTCTTGCATACGAGGGAGGGTCTCTTTTTTTTTTTTTCCCCAACTCACTGGGTTTGATGGGAACCGTTAAGTAGCTGGTGACAGCCACCTCCTGTGCGTTCGTTCCGTTCTGGACCTCCAGGACGGGGAAGGCACTGGCCGAACTTAGAATAAAGGGCAAGTTCTGAATGTCTTGGTTCAGCTGGTCCAGCTCTTTCCGCAGCCCGGGATAGGGTGGGGGCGCCGGAGGGGGAGCGGTAGGAAGAGGAGGAGGAGGAGGAGGTGGTGGCCCCCATTGAGGTCCAGTCAGCCAGAGGTCTTCCTCATCTTCCTGTTCTTTTTGGACAAAAATTTTGGCTAACTTGGGTCGAGGCC